CTCCACGTCTTCTGGGTTGAACTGTTTCCAAGGGCACTTGGCCTGGGCCCGGGGGCCTCCCATTTCCTGTACCCTTTCCTGACCCTGCCTGTCCAGAGGCCCCCATGGACCATTGCCTCTCAGGGGCATCCTGGGCTCTGCTCCTCCATCTCTGTCATCTTCAACCTCTTTATTGCACCATGAGCATGCAAAGTCCATGGGAAGGGAGTGAGCTCAGGAAACGGGGTACACCCCGTGGAGATGGGGCTGGAGACAGCAGCAGTGACAAATGGGGCCAAAGCAGGTAAGCCAGTATCTGGTCTATCAGGGACGAGAGCCTTGGGGAGGAGGACTTGAGTTGAACACTTCCGGAAGTCCCACCCTGTAGTCCCAGCTAGGGCCCAGGAGCAGGTGACAGTCAGTACCTGACTGGAGCTTCCTACATCTAAGGCCAGGGCTGTGGAGGGGCAACGTAGAGCCCTGACAGATTCTGCTGCCGTCGGCAGACCCTGCAGCCATCCTTAGGACCGAGTCCTGCAGTGTCTGCAGGTCAGGCTGCCACCCCCACAAGAGCACAGGGGACCTGGTCACTGGCTGCCACCCCTACAGCTGCCAAACTCTCTCCTGCCATCCTTCTTGCCAAGGCTGCAGCGACTTCCACCTTCTTTCTCCAGCAGAGGGCGCGACAGGACTTCGTCTAAAGTCTGGCCATTGCAGCCAAAGTCTCCTCTGGGAGCGTCCCTGTCACTCTTTTTTGGAGGATCAAGGTCCTCTGCTAATACCATATCCAGCCCCTGCTGGCGACTCCACCTGAAGGCCCCCAGGGCCCTGTAGTGTGGTGCGGGTGGGAGGCCAGCTTGGGAGTCACTGACTGTTAGGAGTGTCCCCTTCTCTGCTCTTCCTCTAGTTTCCTCCACTTTCCCCAGTGCCACTGTCCGCCCCCTACATTTTATGGTGCTGAGCTGAGAGTCAGGAAAGGCTCCTTTTCCTCCCCAGGTCCAGGATCTTCATTCGCAAAGTGAGATTTGACTGGAAACTGTTCCTCAGCCTTCTCCACCCACCAAGCCGTCTCTGCCCCCTTCCTTCCACGAACCTAAGGAGGGAAAGAGGCCAGAGCTGGGGAGGGGACATGAGTCTGTTGGCAGCTCCAAAAAAGGCTCTGTGAGGGAGGGAGTCTTAGCTCTCTCCTTCCCCTCCCCAAGAGGGCCAGCTGCAGGGGCTAGCACAGGCCCCAGAGTGGAGTCTGCCTCATACTTATCTCTGAGCATCTGTCTGTAATCTCCAGAGACGGTGCAGAGCAAAATCCCACAGAGTGCGACTTCCCAGGCCGACTGGGGCTGTCCACAGCCACGCCAGCTTGAGCACATAAAGACACACCGTGCACTCAAGGGGAATCACCCCGGAGCCTCCAGGAGAGGCAGCTCAGTTTGTTAGGGTGACTGCCCTCTGTCTTCTTCCTCCCATCCAGGTCAAGTCTCTTAATTCTGCAGATGACCTGGGCTCCTGGGCTCCCCATCCCAGGGCCTCCCTCCTCCCACCCCTGCTGGGCAGGAAGCAGGGGTGCCCTTGTTGACCTCACCCTGCAGCTAACTCCACTCTCATTAGTCTCACTCCTCAGGGCTTGTCTCTGTGGGCCTGCCCCTGCCTGACCTCTGACCTGGGAACCAGGCTTCTCTTAAACCAGAAAACATTGGACAGCATGTGAGGTGAGAGAGGGCTGATGGTCATTATCAAGGCCTGAAGGGTCTCAGGGGGAGGGAGCACCTACAGATCTGCAGGAGGCAGGAGGCGGGGCTGCAGGGCTCCTGCCAAAGGAGGGCATTGATGAGCTCTGTTCAGAGGGTGCTTTGGGGCACATCTTTGTGAGAGCTTATCTAGAGGATCCTCTTATCCTTTATTTTTTAATTTGCCAGAGGAAATGTGTGCTTGCAGTGGGCGCAGAGATGATGAGAAAGCACTTTCACGCCTGGGGCTGCAATTGCTTCTCCTTCTCTCTTTCTACTCAGGATTTGGGGCCTACATGCACATGTGCTCAGTGAGCTCCTGGATCTGGGACTCGAACCACATGGTTGGTCGTGCGGGATCAGCTGCCTTCACCACCAGGACATGGGCTGGCTCCCTAATTTCCCTCTTATAAGTTTTCCTATTTACGAATGGCACCAACATGTGGTCACTCATGATTTAGATCCACTTGCTCATGACAGTCTTTGTCTCCGCAGGGCCTGGCTCTCAGTCTGTCAAAGTCTACTGGCCTCGATTTTCCTCGACTCATGCCCTCCCAGGGGTCTCCCCCCAGTGGCTTGCAGCCAGTCTATCTGGGTCACCCTGTTGCTGGGGACTCACCGAGCTTTACCAAGGGTCTTGGCTCACTTGCCCGAGAGTGAAGGAAGACGACTCTCAGTGCCTGGGCCACGGTCAGAAAAGCTGCCTCTGGGTCCTTGGTGGCAAGGCGATTCACAGGAGTGGGCTGCAGTCACCTGGGCTGCACAGGTGAGTGGAGAGGGGCTGGCCCTGAATGACTTCGAAGGCTGGACCTGACTGGACCTCAAGGCGGCTATGTGGGCCCCTCGGCTGGGTGGGTCCCAGAGCTGAGCAAATTCCAGCATCAGCAGGGCCTCAGCTCTGGTCTGAGCTTCCAGGGGGGAGGACCTGGCCTTCGCAGAGCTGACCAGAGGGCAGCGAGCTCCTTGGAGCACAAACTGCCATGGTCAGTCCTATGGGAACAGCCTCTTCACTGGCCATTTACTGTGTGTTGAACCTGCTGGGCAGGGACTTGGCAAGAAGACAGTCTGGAAGGAGGTTGGGGGCCTCCGGGGTCAGCTCCCCAGCCAATCAAAGGTCAGGCCGGGGAATCAGGGAGGTGAACTGACCTCCCTAATAGGAGGCTTGGGCTTCTGCTGTAGCCAGGTCCCGTCTGGGCTGGGAGGGGAGGGCCTGGGCTGAATGCAACCTCACACAGACTCTTTGTTCTCTGCAGGGGAGGAGGAAGGCCTCTCTGAGCATCAGGGGAGTGGAGGGCTGAGGCCAGCAGGGGACTCAGGCCTTGACCTGGACCAGAGCCCTTTCCTGGGCTGGAAAAACTGGGTGAGAGAGCCAACAACCCCCCCACCCCACCCCTTAAAGAGTTCTCAGGCCTGCTTCCGGGAAATAGGCAGCTCAGTTCTTGCTTCCCAGTCCCAGCCAGGCTCCAGACCAGAGAGGACAGGAACCGTGGAAATCCCAGGTCATCCGGTAATTAGGGCTGGCAGGAAGTGATTCAGGGAATTACCGGGGTCGGGCGCCCCATTGAAGGCCAGGGCTTTGGAAGGGCGGCTGGTTTGTAATCTCAATTTGAGATCGGTTGATTTTGTAGTTAGTTCCAAAAAGAAAAGTCAGCTCTAATTAATCTGTGTATTTGAGAGCACAGGAGAAACAGTCCAGAGAGCACAGGGTGGGGGCTGGGTCCCTTCGGCCGCTACGAGGCTCAGATTTGGGACTCCCGTCTTAGTTTCTGATCTGCTTTAATTTACATGGTCTGGATGTCCCTGCTGTCTGCACTCCAGCAGGCTGCTGAGTCTATGGCTCCCCTCTGTAGGGGGTGGTCTGAGTGCCACTTAAAGTAGGGTGGGGGCTACTCAGGTCCTTTGCGAG